GGCCCTGCCCCTGCCCCTTGGCGCCCCGCCGCGCTCGCTGCTTCTCCCCCGCGCCTCTTCCTGCAGCCTCCGCGCCGGGCCGGGGCCGGCAAAAAGCAGTTGAAGGCCTCACCGCGGGGCGAAGGCGTTTTGTGCCGTTGGAAAGCTTGGGAAGCCGTTTTAAAGTCTGTGAAAGCCTCGAGTCTAGCAATGGCCCCAGGTGTATTCTCGCCTAACTCCTGTCAATTCTTACTGCTCCCAGGTGTTCAAACGCTTCGTCGAGATCGGCAGAGTTGCCTTCATTTCCTTCGGGCCACATGCTGGCAAGCTGGTGGCCATTGTGGATGTTATTGACCAAAATAGGGTAAGCTGTGAGTGCTGTAGCTTTGTTTTCTCCTTCCTGCCTTAACAGAAGCTTGTACACCAAGATGGAGTGTATCGATTTTAAAGGAAATTTTCTGTGAATAGATTTTTTCGAAGAAATAAGTAATTGACAAAAAGATGGGATTTAACGGCTGCTGTTGTATTTGAAACTTTCAGTAGCAAGCTTCTTTCACTGGCAAGTGATATGTTCCCCTCTCTGCTGTGTTTCCTAGACATAGAAGTGGACAAGTGATGTCAGCTGGAGTCTAAAACTTATGAATGGAATGACATTAATGTATGTTGAAAGCAAATGTTTGGGCTAGGGGACTCTCTTCGCTTAATGTTCTTGAAAAAGCTGGGGAAAAAAACTATGAAGAATGTCATCTTAGTTCTGTGTGCTTTTTTTTAAAGTTCAGTTTGTTTTTTTCTCCCAAAGATAAAGATGGGCCTTTAAAATTCTTTCTGTAAAGCTTGAGTTGTAGATGCAAGACGTAACAATCTCGGTTTTTGTCTGCATGATGCTTATTTCAATTTTGGACCGTTGTTGTCAAGATGCTGTTCATACATTATTAGGAAGCTGCTGTCTAAATCAAGTATGATGGAAAACGGCTGCAAAACTCCCACGTCTGTTCTCCTTTTTCAGGCACTGGTTGATGGCCCCTGCAGTGGTGTCAGAAGGCAGGCCATGCCCTTCAAGTGCATGCAGCTGACTGATTTTGTCCTCAAGTTCCCACACAGGTGAGTTGTTGGCTTTTTTTTTGACCTGTGTAGAAAATGTGCTGTCGCTTGATGACTGAATTACGTGATCTGATGCTTGCTAGATCTGGAAAGTTCATACAACGTTGTCAATGGATTGACGTGTGCACAGTAAAAGTTTGGCAGACTGTTATCATAGTTGAATACATGTAAGTTTTCATTGCCGATATTGGCCGATAACCGCTGTTCAGGAGCAAAGGAAATAGCCCACTGGCCTAGGCAACTTGCAGATAGCTGTGGGGTGGATGGCGTGGAGGGGAGCAGTTGCAGTAAATGCTGTGCAGCTTTGCTTCTCCCACTGCTTAGGTCCTTTTCACACATTAAATATGTTCCCTGCCTACAGAATTACACTGGATTGCAGGAGGCTGAACTCACTCTGTTCTCTTTAGCTTAGTTACTATATGAGTTTCTGTAATTTAGAAACAAAAATTGCTGCCTTTCTGAGTCTGAAGCAGTGCTAGGAATAGTGTGTGAGTATGCCTCTCGGAGCCGCTCATCTGTCAGTCCTAGCAAAGGATTTACACAACAAAATGTTAATTAGGCCGCAGAGATGCATGTGGCATTGACTTAAAATAAGTGTCTGAAGTAATGTAGAAGGGTGATCTTCCCTTGTATGAAATTTGGTGGGCCAGCATCAGAGAGAACCTTTTTTTTTTTTTTTATAAAGACTGTGAATATAATTTTGTGATCATTCTAATGCAGTGCTCGTCAGAAGTGTGTGCGACTTGCCTGGGAGAAGGAAAATATAAATGAAAAATGGGCAGCGACAAGATGGGCAAAGAAGATTGAAGCCCGAGAAAAGGTACAGTTTTTTGCATGTTGTACTGCTTCTGCTTATTAAAATTAGGTGCAATCTAATAAACCATGTGTTTTCAGTTGCGGGCTAAGATTAAAGATAGACAAGGCATAGATTTTTAGAAGTTGCTACCTGTCAGCTTCAACTTCTTGTGTTTTAACAGCAAATGTGGTTTTGTTCAGTCATTTCTATAACCACCATTTTTCCTGCACCATTGCTTCCCAGAAAAGGCCTTAATAGTGAACTAATTCCAGATATGCAGCTAAACCTAATTTGGAGGTGATCGGAGTTACTTGTGGAATGCTTTGAAACACTGAGTTTTGCTACTTGCATATGTATATATCAGAGCTTCACGACTGATTCTTTTCCAACAGAAAGCCAAAATGACTGACTTTGATCGCTACAAGGTTATGAAAGCAAAGAAGATGGTAAGTGTTTGAGTGTCGCTTCTTTATGGGGTCAGTGCTTGTACCTCTCACTTTAGAGTCACATCCAGGTGTTAGTAGCCTTACTTTTGTAGCCGGCTTGGGTTATGGAGTGACACAAAGTATGTGAATGCCTTGAATTTTTCATGCTTCTTTGGCCACCGCTTTCTCGTCAGTAGTTGATCAAACTCGAACCCACGCGATCTGTGTGTCAGTCCTCCAAGTTAGAGCTGAGGAAGGAATTGCCTGCTGAGGAAATCGGATATTCTTGATGGGTTGCTGTTAGTATTTCATTCTATAATGAAAGTCATCACACATGAAATATTGGGGTGCCCAAGTTACCAGCCAGAATGATGATGTTCACGTGGTAGATCAGAACAGTTTTAGGTGCAATTTGACGTTTTAAATGTAATACATGGTAAATCTTTTGACAATATAATATAAATATAATGGGTTAGCAAAGGATGATTATCAAAAAGGGCAGAATCGGAAAGCTTAGAATTGAAATTAAGGCATAATATTTGAGCTGTTGCTGTTTTCATTCTGATGAATAGTAAACGTTTTCCTTTTTTACAGAGAAACAGGATCATCAAGCATGAAATGAAGAAGCTCCAGAGGATGTCTTCTAAAAAAGGCAAGAAGCCAGAGAAGTCAGAGAAGCCAGAGAAGCCAGAAAAAGCGCCAAAGTCAGAGAAGGCGCAGAAGGCACAGAAGGCGCAGAAATAAAATGAACTTCTAGTTATGTACGACTTTGTGTCCCTGTTCCGATTCTTTAAAATTAACAAATGGTTAAACATCTGATTTAAATTGTAATCATAAGTTCACTTTTGCTTCTGACCAAGAATTGTTGTCTGTCTCATTTATTAGTGTCCAAGTGTTGGGTTCTGGTGTTTCCCTGGAACACACAGAAATGTTTTTGTCACCTGTGAAGCTGACCGTACGGGCTACGCTCAGTGCTCTGTACCCGATGCCAGTTGAAATATTTGCACACCTGCTCATTTGAAGTAGGTCAGATCCTGACATTTTAAAGCAGCCTGCTATTGAAATGGTTGGCAACGAACAAAATAACTTGTGAAAGATGAGAAATAATCAATTACACTAATTATTCTGTATAAATCAAGGCATAAACTGAAAGTACGTGTTCTGGTTAGAATGTAAGTACGTCGGTGTCTGAAGGACTGACAGATTGCTGTTCAAAATTACTCCATATTTTCTAAAAAACTTCCACTCTTCTTCAAGTAGTGACCCGGAATACTTCTGTACTTCCGATGCCTGACAGCACGGTTGTCCTGTAAGCGCAGTTGCAATAATGAGTGACGTATTAACAAGATGGAAATCGGTGACTTGGGTTTAAGCATGCTTGCTTTTCAGAATGTTTAAAGAGTTTATGTCAAGCCCTGAGCCTAATTACAGTTCCTTAAACTGTGCGGCATGTAATTTCCGCTTTTTAATCAAAACCATTAAGTAAAAGGGGACATGACCTAAAAAATTACTCTATCCACGTGAAACACTGGAGTGCTCGATTTAGTCTTTGCACTATAGAATAATGTTTACCTATCGCTGAATGTCAGCATCCATCTTTTCCTATGTTTTCTCCTGTGTAGTTTGTTGGCAGGGGATATATTCATATTGAATGAGGAAACTGTGGAAGTCAGTTCTCTTGTAACTGAAAAGCGTATTATTTTTACAAACATGAAAGGGAGGAGGGAGAATATATATTTTAAAAAATGAAGGGTGTAAGACCTTTAAATATGTTGTCAAATATACTGATAAGCGTGTGCTTTTGCAAATGTGTGCTTTTAAGTAGTTACATGGCTAGTGGTGTTATTTTAGCCAGAATTAGGCATCTGCGTGCTCTAACACTTACTTGTCTTGAGCTATTTATATGCCTTTGGAAATTGAGTTCAAGCACGTGGTTGATATGAATGGATATAACAACTGAGGGGGAAAAAAATCAGAAATTATGCAAATTGAGACTAAAGCCCATGTTCAAGCATCTGGAGATTTTGGGTTTTAAATCGGGTTTTAAAGTGATTAAATCCACCTACTCTGCAACTCTTAAGTTGGAAGTAACATGGAAGGTATATCAACCTGGAGGTCCTTTAAGGTGAAGGAGTTGTTTTTTAGGGTTCTTTCGGGTTTTTTATGTACTGCTCTTAAGCTCAGTTATATAAGACTGGGGAAGGATTGGTAACAGTGCCCGTAGAGAGCATAGCTGTGCCTTCCACCATAACGAGCTCGTTTTTAAAGGTACTTGCTTCCAAGGAATAACTTTGGCTATGGCTGCAGCAACGCGTCCAGTGTTCTCATTCCCACCGTTACCGTTCGGCAGCTCCGGAGGTATCTGAAACGTCCCGATGTTACGAAGCGAAGCGTGCTGTAAGCTGCCCTGAAGAGGAACATCCTACCGTGCCCGGAGGGAGGGCTGCCTGCCTCTGGGCCTTGGCCCTGCGCCGTGGAAAGGGACGTGCCGGGGCAGAGAGCAGGGGAATTAAAAATGAAGGCGCTGTTCGCGTGAGACGGCGTTGCGTGCCCTAGGAGAAAAATTGATTTTGTGATACCATGTCTGCCGTCTACTGCTGCTGTGAAGGTACGGCTTTTTATACGGCGTTGAGGAAAGGGGAGAAGAGAAATAAGGGGATATACTGGGCTTTGGTGCCTGTGCTGCCTCTTTCTGGCAGCGTGTTCCGCGTGAGCAGCATCTGGTTGCTCCTTTTAGCGACTCTTGAAACCTCTCTGAAACCTTGTGCAGCTCTGTGTCGCGTCAGTAGCCCACCTTTCTTTCAAACCTTGAGTGTTGTGCCATCTGTGCCGGTTTGTCCTTTTTTTTTTTTTTAAAAAAAAAAAGCTACGGGGATACAGAAAACGCCAGCAGCACAGTTTTGTTTCTGAAGGTTACCACACGATGGCAACGTTAGCTCTTCGCAAGCTTGTTCCTAAGGTTTACCCAAACCTCTCTCTGCGAGGAGCAGTGCCGAGCAAAGCGGGTGGCACAAACCTTGGAGAACAACGGACGTGCTTTGCCAATTCCTTATTTTGCCTTTATGGTTGACTGAGATGTACTTTGCTGGACTAAGGATATACTTCTTTGATTCCCTTTGTGAAGCTGAGTGTGAAGAAATAGGATCTGCTGTTTAGGAACAGCTTAAAGCGAGGTCCCAGTGTTTATTTTCTCAGTTTATTTCGTGCAGAACATGTAGGGGGCTTGCTGGGGGCAGAGAGGGGGAGGCACCCTGCCCAGTTTACTCCTGAGATCAGCAGCTGTTGCCGTACTTCCTAAACTGATACCAACAGTAGGGAAACCCAGTACTAATCTCTGTGCTGCAAAGTCTGGGAGACATGAGCAATGCTAGGAGTAGGATTGGACCCCTTAGCATAATCTGTAGTGAAAAGGTGTGAAATCTGCTCTTGCTGTGAACCAGCTGCAGTTCTGGGCTGAGTGATATGCTGGTGATGCATATTTCTTTTTCTTCTTCAAAAAAGACTATGTTTAAGTGCTTTTTGTTCTTGTCTAAACATGTCTGTTGCTGTGTTTGGCACCTGAATGTGTTTCAATTTTTTTTTTTTTGAGATGTAAGAGACCTGAAAGAGGAATCTCTGGATTTACTGATCTTCCTGGTTTTCAAATATTAGTCTTCAGACTGTCCTTCAGTCAAGGTTTGCTTGGTGACCATGACATTTGCAAATCATCTGGTCTTGTAGTTGCCTATATGTTAATAGTAGATAATACTGTCTGCTCTGAACCGCTCCTGCGCCACGGATGCTGACCATGGGCTTGCGGCAAATCTGGTCCGGTTTACAGCTGGATTCCCTCTTATTTATTTTGTCTGAGCTCACTTGTAGCGCCCCTTAAATGTTTCCAGTCCTGTATGTTTCTCTCCTTTCCCCCTGCCCACGTTGATAAGGTGTCTCTGAAAACTCCACGCGCCTGCCTTTCATCAAGATGAAGAGGTGCTAATTTCTATTCACAGCGTTATTGGTATATGAGTAAGTGCAGCTTACAAGCAAGAAGTGGTAAGTGGAGCAAATTACGGGGATGGCTGTGTGGTTTGGGCTCTACTCATTTCAGATCTTCAGCTTTTGCTTCTTCCTTTGTATAATTTCGGTTGTGTTTTGTTTTTTTTTAAATATGGAAATAGGTTTTAATGTTTTGAGCTTGAAGTTGCATATACTGTTGTTGCACTCAGGTACTTTTGAGTTTATACTGGGATTTCTTTCTCTGAAGCAGAAAGATCTGCTTTTACCTGTTTAAGTACTGCATCCCTAGCTGTGCTGAAGTACTGCAGTCCTTGTCCCTGCCTTGACACAGGCAGTGGCCCTGTGGATACTGGTGATGAACCCACACCCCCTCTTTCTCCCTGAATTTGTAACAGGCTTCATTCTTGGATGCTGTGCAACCTCCGGTTCATAGTGTCCTTCAGTGGGCATTTGGCCCAACCTTCGCTTTGTGCAGCTGACCCCTGTGTCATATTCTTGTTTTAAATAAATGAAGAGTTGGTAATTTTTTCCTCACCTTGCTTTCAGCGATCATAAGCCAGTCTGAGCAATCTCCAGGTAAGGCTTTGTAGCAAACTCTCCCTCCTGCCCCAAAAGCTTTCAGGTCCCTATGTGCACCCGAATTAGAAGTCTTTCACCTGCAGTCAGCTATTTGTGCTGATCATCAGCCTAGAAATTATGCCATTGCCACCAGCACAGAGCCACCTCCTCCTTCATAAGATGCATTGACCTAGTTCTTATTACAGAGGAAGTACTTTTTAACATTTCCCCAGTGGTCTCCTGGTATGAGGGTATTTTTTCAGGACATTTTGTTCTGTAACTGTTTGGGAGCATCGCTCCTTGCATATTGTGAGGAGAGGCCCTGGCCTGCTCATCACGGCTCCCAGCAGAGCTGAGCTCTTCCCTTGCGTCCGCTTTGGGCTGCTTGCGGAGCGCGGGTAGTGTTTCGGGGCACTGCGCTGCTGATAAAGGTTTATATGGCAGGATCTCATCAGGCAGATCTGCTTTGATGAAAATGATAGATGCTTTGAAAAGGTAATAGTGTTCATATTTAAATAGCATTAAAGAATATTACCTTTGAGATCGGCTGGAGCTTTACCTAAGGACACCCAGTGGGAGGGCACAACATCTGAATATTTTTCACAATAATTCAACAGCCAAGACTTTTTAGAGCCACTGTTTGAACCTCATATTTACAAAAGCCATCAAACAGAAGAAGGGGCTGTTGCTAGCTGTGTTACTGCAGTCAGATGCTGTATAAAGGTGATCTAAAGAAAGTAGGGGAAATAGACTTGTGGGCTTTTTCCTTTCCTTCTTCCTTCTCTTACTCCCTGGAGCCCCTGAATAACTTTAAAGGGTTTGTGGTTTTTTTGGTTGTTTATCTTTTATTTCTACTGCTTGTCTCATTCGCATTGCACATGTGAGTCTTAGCTCATCCTGGAAGTCTCTGTGGATAACGGAAAAAAAATCAGAGAGTTTATGGCATAATGAAGTAAATCAAGTCTGACTAGCTGAAAGTGGCATCATTTTTGCTCTGGTTGCTTGAAGCATTTTTCGAGGTCCAGGGGGAGGCTGGCAAGCTGCTCCTGTTGGCGATGCATGCAGGTCCTCATCCCAGATGTGAGCAGGCTTCTGCGGCTCCCAGCCACGTGAGCGTGACCTTGGAAGGAAAGATGTTCACGCAGTGGGTATCCCTGGCTTCTGCTGGCAGTGCCACAGTTCTGCTTGAGTGGGAGGCGGCTGTCAGGGCACACGGGGTAGAAACCAGGAGATGTGGGGGTTGATGTGCTTCTCCAACCCAGAGCTTCACAAGAAGCAGGGCACAGCCCCTGTCATGGCACAGTG